TAGGCTCTCTAACAGGAGGGGTTGCAGCCATTGCAATGTGACGGTTCAAACGCAATCCATAATTTCATTGATCGGCCAGTTATCTTCTGATCAATAGAATTCTGGGACGGTGAATTTATCTTGCAGATAGTTACCAGCAAGTTTATCTGAAGATGAATAAATCGGGCTTGAATTAAAAAAAAACATAAAGAGCAATCAAGACATTTTCTCAAATTGCTCTTATTCATTTCTCAATTGTTCCATCTCATTTTTTGTCTATTCTCGGCTCTTGAATGTTGCTTTCTTCAAATGAAAAAAACACGGATTTTTGGATTGAGAGAATCAAGAGCCTGGGATTTTGTCAATTTTTCTAAAATTTCTTTCATTAATTTCTCACTTATTCTGTCTCAGTTGCCGACTATATTACCGGCTTTTGAATTTGGCTTACATTTAAACTTTTCTAAAAAAAGACCACAGTACAACACAGTGGCGCATCCAGAAAATATATTTGGGGGGGGGGGGCTACATAGGTTGTGGCTTGTGACTAAAAATCTAAAAAAAAAAAAAAATTGAAATGTCAGGGTGCCACGCCCAAAATTTGCCACATTTTTTTATACGTAAGAATACAGTTTTGGAGGGGCGGCCTGGGAGGGGGCCCTAGCACGATGGTTCCTCCCTGGGTGTGTCACTGGGTCCAGAAAATCTGGGAAACTTTGGAAAATGAAGAATTTTTTGAAATATCCAGAAGCTTTTGAGCTTTAACATACTAAAATTTGATTGAAAAAAAGTGAGGATAGCAAAGTTACAATATTTGTAATCTAAAAGACAGTGATATTTTTACCTTACAATCTATGGCCTGAATGAAACTTTGTAAAATGATTCTTTTTTAAATATCCGTGAGCATTTTAGCTTTAATATATCCAAATTTTATCGAGAAAAAAACCAAAGATAGCAGCGGAGTTACGAATTTTTTAATTCCAAAGAGACACTTACTGATATTTTTACAATACAGACTATGGCCTGATTTTTGATTTTTTTCCTAGAAATCTGGGAAAATTTGGAGAATGAAGTTTTTTTTTATATATCCAGAAGCCTTTTACTTTTAACATACCAAAATTTACCAAAGATAGCGGAACTAAGTACGATTTTTTAATCCCTAAGAGACAGTAAGTAACATAGGTTGTGGCTTGTGACTGAAAATCTAAAAAAAAATTGAGGCGTCAGGGTACCACGCCCTGAATTTGCCACATTTTTTTATACCTATATTAAAATAAAGTTTTGCAGGGGCAGCCTGGGGGGGGGGGCTCTGGACCGATGCCCCTCCCCTGGGTGCGCCACTGGTACAACAAGGGCTTGACTTGAAAAAATCGAAAGCCTGGAACTTTGAGAATTTTTCTTGAATTTCTTCTATATATTTTCCAATTATTTTATCTCAGTTTTTGTCTATCCCCGGCTCTTGAATCGTATTTTCCTGGAACTTGCTCTAAATGAAGAAAGCTCAAGAGCTTGGAGTCAATTTTTGTCAGTCAGTAAATACAGGTTTTTAAAATAATTTCATCATTTTACCCCCAAATGTACTCCGTTTGCTCTACTCTAATAGTATAGAAACGTCTTAAAGACTGGGGATTTTCTCAATTTTTCTTTAAATTTCTTCAATTCATTCCTCAATTCTTATTCTACTATCTCATTCTTTGTCTATTCCTGGCTCTTGAATGTTGCTTTCTCAATGGAGAAAACACATTTTGTCTCAGTTTCTGTCTATCTCTGGTTCTTGAATGTGGCTCTCATTCAAATTTTTCTAAATGAAGACCACACAACAATAGTTTGAGTTGAAGAAATCGAGAGCCTGGAATTTCCTCAATTTTTCTTGAATTTCGTCCATTAATTTCTCAACTATTTTATCTCAGTTTTTGTCTATCCTCGGCTCTTGAATCGTGTTTTCATGGAACTTGCTCTAAATGGAGCTCTAAGAACTCGGAGTCAATTTTTGTCAGTCAGTAAGTACCTATAGGCCGAGGGGTTAATCACTCCCCAAAATATCCGAAATCCACGAAATCACTCTGAAATCACCCGAAATCACTCAAAATCACCCGAAATTCTTCGAAATCAATCGAAATTCCTCAAAATTGAAAAATCTGAAATCTTGTCACAGTATAATCCCTCTAAATCTTTCCAAAATCCTACCGAAATCCCTCAAAATCGCTCTAAATTTGAAATCTTGTCACATTAAAAAGTCAATTGGAGTAGCTGAGACTTTCTAGTGGACTTCTTAGTCTATGTAGTACAAATGTCACAACTTCAACCCTCATATAAGCTTTGTTTTGGTTCGAAAATTGGAACTGCACAGAACTGTTTGCGCACAAAAAATAATGGAGAACTGTTTTTAATACTAACTCTGAACCGATTCGGAACCAAAACTAGCTGCAAATTACAGTTCCAAAACAGTTCCTCCGTCAGAGCAAGGACTGAGAGGACCATTCTAGAACAATCCCAGAATTGTTCCAATATAGTTCTAAATAAACTAAAGCGTTGTCAACAAAGTTCAATTACGATTCGGGAAAAACAAAAACGCGTTTTATAACATGCGCATGTGCAAAATAATTCCAAACTAGTTCTGAGTGAGACATAAGCTATATAAGAGACGTCAACAAACTTTACTAGGATGTTTCGACGTTCATCTAGTCCATCCTATTTTTGGGTACACGTAATTTGGTTCCCAATATATTGACCTTTAGAAAAATTATGTAACTTGGTTCCCGCAACTTTTCGCTTACCTGATTTGTATGTGTAAATTGGTTCCTGCTACCTAAAGTACTTAAAGTGGATTACCACCATAGGCAATAAAACAGACTAAGCAGTATTTACGATATTTATTAATATTACCTACCTATTTTATTCAAGGAACCTAAGAATTGGTAATTCTTGGAATTGATGATAAAGTAGATTTCATAAAAAAGGTGATAAAAGTTATAAATGAAACTCTATGCCTTAATTCCAACAAAAGATGGAGCATGGTAGCCATCCATTCTTTGTCACCTGACGAAAGAAGTTGCAGATTCAAGCCTTGAATCAAGGTAGATAGAGGCTAGAAGTTCTAAATTATCGTCAAATGTGGAGGTACAGGGAGTCAATACATCATATTGACACAGGCTTGGTAGCAGGAGTTAGAGTCGGGTGGTTCTTTGAGATTAGCGGTTAATTGGGATAATTGCATTCCCAGATATGTTCGTCCGCACACTGATTTCTTTTCTATCCCTTCTTGATTGAGTCTTTTTACGGATAACTTGTATATGGCGGCTGATCCCCATTGTATGCAAGGGATGAAAGGTTTCTCTTACTTCCTCTCCGGGAACTCCACCCAGAACCCAGAGACTTGATTCCTCTAGGAAATCTCTTCAAAAGTTCTATGCCCATGCTGCACGAAAATGATGATCTTTAGAAATGTGGGCTTGTTGGAAACGGTTCCGTCGAAAAGAAACGAGCTCTTTGAAAGAAACGACTCCTCGAAAAATCCACGAGTTCGAAATCTGAACTCAACTAAAACGGTAATCACAAGACTTTTGATAATAAATAATTAACGGAGCATTGCCTTACGCAACTTTATTTCGTCAAAATAGTGCCTGATGGCCGATAAGGTAGGTACTTATTTTCACGAGAACGGTAACCGATATTTTACTTATGAAGATGGCTGCCCCCAGGCCAAGCTCAACCTTCCAGGTCGAAAGTCAAAATTTAAAAGGGCCGAAGAATCGGAAAAGCTGAGCAAGCAGAGCTTCCTTCCGGAAAATAGCCAACGGAAAGTGTTGGTACTAAACTGTTACTTCAAATTTAAATGAAAAGCGTGCCGTCTAGATTAACAATTGCTAATATCATTGGCGGCAAATTTTTTTTAATAATGCCAGTTACCAGACTGTCAGCATCTAGTTAATATGCATTATTAGCTGAGAACCAAAAGGTAAAAAATGATTAGAAATTCATAACTCATATAAAATGGAAGCCTAAAATCAATAGTTGTAATGGCGTATATGAGCTATTACTGAAAAATTTGGTACCCATACTCTATACTAAAACTCTCCCAAAAAAAAAATTCTTCTTCCCTGTCATGACACAGAAATATAATTATTTATTAGAAATTGATTTATCCTCGCAAGTTTCGTGCATTGGTGGTTCTAAAATGGAGAAAGCAACTAAAGCAAGCTTTAGATTTTTAATGATGCCTTCCTGTAGGCAAGACCAATCACCTTAAGTACCGCAGTGCAATATAATATAATGTATTATTTGATGAAATTTGTGTTGCTTCATTAAAATATTAAAGCCGTGACATTTGCCCCAATATATTTCACATAAGATACCGATCGATACTAATCCATAAGCAAAAGTTGATCGTGCTCCGCCCACTCCCCAACAGAGTATAAGTACTCTAACAGTACGTAGGTAGTACCCAAAGATGGCGGACGGGATAGCGACCCGAGATAGATTCTCATCACGAGAATTGGTTTTATTTAAAGAAAGATATTATCTATATCTATCTATGTGCCTCATATAAGGTCTTGTTAACAATAAACTTGTCGACTTTATTATAAATGTAAATTTTTAACAAATTATTACAAAACAATGCCGCATCAAGAAAGATGAAAGGGAAACTGAAATAATCCCACACACATTCAATAATAATTGCTCGCGGGTAAAAGTAGACTAATAAAAATTGTAATTAATTTACCAGACAATTAATTAATTGGTAATGGTTGCGAAAATTACTCAACTTTATGATTTTTTTTTTAATTGTTATTATGGGACAATGAATGGGAACTTTTGAGACACTAATATGGCAAATTTGAGATTATGTATTGAGTTTATTATGAAACAAATGTAGAGTAACTAGAAGTACAAGTGACAAGATCTAATAAAGAGACACTAATGTTGCCTAAATATTTTGAAATACTGTATGTATGTACAATGTACACCACGTTATGGAGAGGTTTTAAAGTTAATTTTTCTAAAACAAATTTCTCTCGTTTCAGTTGTACATCGAAATACGTCGGCGAATACTGTCAGCACCTGAACCCGTGCCATACTGGCAAAGGTCCGGGTCCCCGGTGCCAAAACGGCGGTTCGTGCCAAGTGCGTACCGGTCCCGGTGGAGTACCCGGATTCGAGTGCCGGTGCCCTTTGGGGTTTAGTGCGTCACTATGCGAAATCCACGTGGCTAACAGCTGTGACTTACGACCCTGCCTTAACGGCGGTACTTGTTCGCTGATATCTCTGGAACGGTATCAGTGCTCTTGTGCTCCTGGATATACTGGTAAGAATTTCAATGTATTACCTATATCATCATCTTATAACTCAGCTACATGTTATTTTATCAACTCTTATTTTCTTTGTTCAAGTATACCTTGTCATATTTGGAGGTTGCTTCAAATAAACGAATCTCTAATATTCATCAACGTATAGATTCTCTCAATCAAGAAAAACAAGATCATTTCGAAAATCATTCAATAATTATCCCGCTTAATATATTTTAATTTCACGGTTAGTTGCATTAAAGATCCATTTAAGGCATGTACAATTCGCACATGTACCGCAACCTATTGGCTAAAAAGACGGCAATAATTAAAGCTCCCAGCGGTAATAAAGCTGATTTTATTGGCAAATTCAGCCATAAGGAAGACCACCATAAAACCCCGCTTGGAATTATATACATGCAAATACCTTGAATATTTCAAAATATTGAAAGATTGCATATAATTAACTTGTGAAATAGTTATTTTCCTAACAAGTGCGCAAAGTGTTACTTTTCCGCACGCAAACACAGTTATACGAACGACGCGAAGCGGAGTTCGGATACGTGTTTGCGTGCGGAAAAGACACTTTGCGCACGTGTTAGGAACAAAATTTTTCCTACGAGCTTCATATCAGGTAGGTAATAACAAAAATTTGAAAAAAAAACCGATAATTTGTTTAATTATTTTTAATTAACTTGAAGGGAACCTATGCATTTATCAAAAAATTACATAACAAAAAAAAATAACAGAAAATCCTCGTCAGAGCTGTTCATCTTAAAGCGTTTAAATTTGATGAGAAAGTTTGTAGATTTTTGCATATAAATAGAGAACAAATCTGATGTGTCAAAGTTAATTTATAATTGGTGTTTGTATAGATGTTGGCTGATATAGAAATAGAGGAAAAATTTGTCATCATGTGTCAAAGTCGACAGGTGCACTTATTGTTGCTTGACAATTATAATTACTTTTCGGCACTCAGTGCGGATAAGGCCTGTATCCGCACTGAGTGCGGAAAAGTGTAACTTTGAGTCCGGAAATGCGTGCGGAAAAGTACTACTTTGCGCACGCTCGTAGGAAAAAGCTTAATCGATTTTGTTTCTAGGTGACCACTGCGAAAAACAAGATCACTGCGCGTCGCAACCGTGCCGTAACGGAGCGGAGTGCGTAAGCGTTGGCGACTCGTACGCGTGCACGTGCGCGCCCGGTTTTACTGGCGCGAGCTGCAAAGAGGACAAGGACGAGTGCAAACAGAAACCGTGCAAGCACGGCAAGTGCCACAACACGCACGGCAGCTACACGTAAGTCTAATTTTTATATTGTTCCAGAGCGATAATCCAAGAATATTCTGCTCGAGGGTTTAGGTGCTTTGAGATCCAATTATTCTGAACTTGCTTTCTGTGTCTGGTAGTTGGAAATTGCCTTGAGAATAGTTCTTTAACAAGTCATATGTTGCGTTCATTGACTGTCTTTCTTCGTCCCTCTACATTATATGTTTCTTATATCTCGTGTAACGAAATTTGTCAAAACGTCATGCGTCTTACAAATCACTCTCCATTCTCGTCCAAATAGGTATCAGACCGCCGTTCAAGAAATTTCACTTCAAAAATAAAAAACAAAGAATGAAAGAAACAAGAAAAATCATGTGTCTTAAAAACTAGCTATACCTCATACAACTTTTGGACTAATGGCTGCTTCACATTTTGTTAACTGCAAGTGTTTAGTGTCAAATGTTAATTTGACATGTTGAGGACCAATTTATCCGTAGACGGTTATTGAATTTACTTGCTATTAATCGAAGTGTAAACCGGCCTTCAGCGTATGAGTCGGGGTAGAGACAAAGAGAGACGCGCATCTGCAGAGACGTTACAAGGGTATCGGCGCTTGACAATAATGGTTTATAATCTTTGGTTTGTGTCAATCGTTCATTGGTTGTCATTGTTATTGGGTGTCTTTCTCCGTCCCTTTACGTTATATTTTTCTTCTCTCTCGTGTAACGAAATTTGCCAAAACGTGACGCGTCTTTTGAATCACTCTCGTCCAAATATCAGACTGCCGCCTAAGAAGTTTCACTTCAAAAAGGTCAGAACGTAAATGTATAAATAACGAAAATAATCACAAAACACAATGATGATAGGATAACAAAAGAGAGGCGCGCATCTATAGTGACGTCATAAGGGTATCGGTGCTTGACAATAATAAGCAATCCTCTTTGCGTTTTTAATCTTTGATCTGTGGCAATCAAAAATTAAATTTTTCTCCCTAGGTTAATAATGAAAATAATGAAAAAAAAAAACTTAAGTCAATAATGAAAATGACGTCATGATGCAAGAATATCATGAGGTACCAGGTTTCTATTGGTTTAATTCCAATTTCAACCTGTCAATTAAAAAAAAAAACAGGTTCCTGTACCTACCGTACATAGCACATTACCATAAGCTGTCGATAGAGAGCAGCACTTTTGACAAGACATTCAGAAAAAGTAATTTGAGCACAAATTTCAAACATATTTTTTATTTTGTAAAAAGAAGTTCTATATAGAAAGATCATTATACGATACAAGGTGTCCCACCGGAAACCAAATCGATCTATATATGAAAAACTGTAGGCAGAAAATGTTCGAAAATTTGACAGTTTACTAATGTCAATGGGGGCAATCCGGCTAAAATATTTTCAAGATGGTGGCACTTCCGACTATACCGGAAGTACACGTCAATTTGCTTATTTTGGAGACACCCTGTATATGATTACATATTTGGATTCTACGTAAAATTCTGAGCAGATTTCATGTGATATCTCTATACCTAAACTAAGCTCAACAGTTTTAGAAATATTGACAGTTAAAAATTGACTTTTTGCAAATTTGACAGGCTGTAAAACCTAAACGGTTTTTCAAAGGAAAACCGATTTTACATTCCTATCTTAGATATCAAATTTTCAAAAATTTGCTGGATACAGTTTTCCATATTGATCGATTTGGTTCTCGGTGGGGCACCAATTAGGCAATCTATTCCAATATGGCCGTTTAGGTCAAATTGTGGTGACGTTCAATAAAAAAATCATTTTTGTTCAGGGCCCTTATTGTTGTAGATGCCAATCATGACAATATGACAATGTCAATGTCAAAACTAAATGTCCAGAATGTGGCAAAATAATAATTTCTCATTGATTTCTAATGTAAACAACACGGTTTCTGACCCAATGTCTGACCTGAACTTCCATATTGCATTTCGTTTGACAGGTCATGAGATTACCTAATACCTTTGTGCATTATAATGACCAACTTCTCTACCTAGGTTTATAATATACTATTTTGATATTTTAATCTTTGAATACAAATGTATAAATAACAAAAATAATCACAAAACACAATCATATTAGTATAACAAAAAGGAGACTCGCATCTATAATGACGTCACAAGCATAGGCGCGCATAAAATAGCTAAACATTCCTTTTTTTTTATGCCACTTGACTCGTTGATTGGAACTCTTGGATCGGGCCCAAGGATATTATACACTACACAGAATTGCTCATCTGTCAGTATTTTACGCATCAAAGACATAATAGGCGTTTTTGGAAACGGTGTTCCGATTAACCCGATCACCAACTGATGTAAACTGTCTTTTTTCAATCGAATTCATTAGAGAAAGATGAAAAATAAAAAGCTGGTGATCGGGTTAATCCGGTTAATCGGAACAGCGTTTCTTAAAAGCCCTACTGTGTAACGCTGCTTGCGTCAGCTGCCGTAGATCGCAACGATAATACACAGTATACTACACAGGATTGCTTATAGGCCTCGTTTTTGGGAATCGCGGATATATTGTGTAGCATCATTGTCGACGTCATCAACTACGTCGTCAGCTGTTTGCTATCTATATTCGACCTTGAAAAAATACGAGAAAAATATTTTAAAAAATTCTTACGTCAAATTTGACAGCTGTCAATTTCAAAAATACGACAAGCTGAAATAAATTTCAAAATTTTCCAACGTAGTGCATTTTGTTTAAATTCGTTTTTAAATCACCTGTCAAAAAAAATTTGACAACTGACATGCGACCGGAATCTGTTCCGATAGGGTCGTTTGCCTTTCCTCTCGCTTTATTATACAAGCTACAATCACCAAACTCAGTGCATAACTATTTTTCGATTTGGACTATCTGTCATTGTCAAAAAAAAATTGACAGCTGTCAATGTCAAAAAAGTGTTTTTTTAATTTTCGATAAAAAAATTTACGATAGTCGGAAAACGTTTCTACGACCCCAAAAACCCTAAAAAAAATTACCATTGACATATGTCAAAAAATGACAGCTTCACAAGGTCAAATGTCTTTTTTGACATGTGTCAAATTTGAACAACGCATTCGGATAGAATTTTTGATGCCAAAAATGTTGGTGATATTGATAGATGGCACCTGTCAAATTTACTATACGTCTGCCTCTCTCCCCGCTCTATCATTCAAGCTACGACCACCAAACTTGGTACATGAGGGTTTTATGTTGTGAACTATCTGTCAGTGTCAATTTTTTTTGACAGCTGTCAAAGACAAAAAAGTTTTTTTTCAATTTTCCGTTTTCAAAAAATCGAAATAATGTAATAAAACCAACATCGATTAAAGGCGATTAACCGGTCGGTCATAGTTGACAGATAACCAATGAAGTAAATGTCATATGTCAACCAATCGGTATTGAATGACATTAAATGCATTGTTCATCTGTCAATATAACCGACTGGTAGAAGCGGGATAAGATATATCGATACGCTTTCGATGATAATGCATATCGAACATTCATATTTTTTCTATCCCAGGAGTTTTTTTTTATTCCAACAAATTCAAGAGCCGGGAATAGAGAAAACTTGAGCTAGAAAAATTCAGCTTATAGCGATGACGTCACTCGCAGACCTCGATGGAATGCTTGGGATTCAGGCTGTGCTAGTGAGTTAATTTTTTCGTCGATTTTAAATAAAGAAAAGGTGATTATTGGTCTGTTCTCACAGAAGTTAAGTGTTCTTGATCATCGAGTATCCCAGAATTTGATGGTGGGGAAGTTAGAGGAGTATGACACATATAGGATTTTTAAGTTATATTTAGGATGACGTCACATTTAGTGAATTTCTGCTAGCAACCTAACAAAACTAAAAATACTTTTTAACGCATTTAAAGTAGGGGAATTTCAAATATTTTTGGTTGGCAACGGCGCACGACGTTGCATGACTTGTATAAACATTTGCATTTTGTTATTTGTAGTTGTCGTCAGAATTATTGACATATGACATTTTGGTAAATCATAAGAGAAAAAATAGACATTGACAACATTGTCTGTTCTTGTTCGATGACGTCATCTTGAATATAACATAAAAAACTTATAACATCTGAGTATAATCGAGTATGCTATGCTTGGTTATCCTCACAAAAAATTGCCTATTCTAAAATAATTCAACGATATTTGATATTTTAATTGAGATACCTTGTCTTGTATACAGGGTGTTCCTGGAATATCATATAGAAACGGAAGGTGGTGATTCTTTGGTTTATTTTATGACTAAAATTTCTAATAAACATAGGGTTGCAAACGCCGCTTCGTTACCGGTTTACAGGGTGTGCACATGTAATTGTGCTGCCAGGTACGGTACAAAAAAGATGAAAAGTGCACTTTTTTAAATAGAGCACCCTGTATATTATGAAATAATATAAAAGACGATTAAAATCTTTCACAAATGATGTATCATGTTCCTATACCTAAATAGTTTCGGAAATACAAGCGTTTCTGATATTTGTCTATAGCTATGAAATGTCACTGTGAAACAAGGTAATTCAAACCCAAGGATAATACACACTACTACAGGATTGCGTATCGGCCTCGTTTTTGGTAATCGCGGTCATATGGTGTAGCACCATTGCCAACGTCATTAACTAAGTCGTCAGCTGTTTGCGCCAGCGGTCGTAGTACCTATAGAATATAAAATCATGAAAAATATTATTTAATTTTGTAGGTATTCTCCTTGGCAAACGAAATCCAAAAAAAGAGTTGTTTTAGAATGTTAATTGATGTATTAAAACCAAGTATGCATAAAGTAAAAGCCCGGATTCATAACCTGTGATGCAAACACCCTACGTCAAGACGAGAAACGACACGCTGGCTACGTCATCACTGATGGTACTTTTTTCATGGTGGCGGGCTTGAGATTTGAACTATACAGTCCTTATGAAGATAGGCTATCCTGTAGTAGTGTGTATTATCCTTGATTCAAAACACGTTATTTTCTACAATGGCGGGTGATGGCAAATACTGAAACAATGGT